TCAATCTGAATATACTATATAAAACCCCTTTATTACAGTCACAACAGCCTAAAAGAGACAAAGAACACATTCTAACGACTTTAGAGTCCTGTCATATATTTACTTAATGCAGAATTAAATTCTAAATTTCATTCTGCTGTCCTTACATCTCTGGTAGCTGACCTATTCTCAGCCTTATCTCCTATGGTCACTTGCATAATATTTGTATAACTGACATCTCTGTTTCCAGCTTTTCCTCTTCCTGCCTTGCTATCTTTAACTCTGGCAAGCTGTTGACTAGAATTGGATATATTTTCCTGGGGATCAAATCAGACTTGCTAGAGATGTCCAATGAAATTGAATGGCCGAAAAATTTGAATGAATGAATGAACAAAGCAACAGAAAAACAAATTAAATATTAGAACTCTTAGTGTTCTTTCCAACATGATTCCGTCTCTCCCTCTTTCCTGGGCATAATTTCAAAGGCTTTAATTAGACATAGTTTGCTATTTTGCTGAAATTAAGAAATGATGAAATCTGGATGGGGACATGCCAGGAACTTGCAGTATTATTCCGAGTATATTTAATATTGTGACTTTGAACTGAATGCAGCAGTCTTTGCCACCCATATCAAGCAAAATGTGGCCCCATGGAGATTCTGGGTTTTTGCTTAAAACATGTGGAAAAAAGGAACATAAGGGTGAGACTTGTTCATAACTTATTTTATAAACAATTTGTGTCATTGACATATAGCAGCAAATATAGTTGTCTTGTGCATTCTGATGGAAATTTTGAAATACTACCAGGTAGAATATCGTCCCCCGCCCAATAACAATTGCAGAAATATATTGCTGTAGTATCAATCAATATCCTTTATTGCCATCATTGACTACAATTTAATGCTTTGATATTGTTTTTCCATTGTTTTTCCACTGCATGCAGCCAACACCAAATTACATTCCTATAACATTGCTATCTCAATTGTTATGGACTATCTATCCATATAGGATGTTAAGAGACAATGCATTTTATCAGGGAAATGGGGTGCAGGACTTGGAAATGGCTACACCAATTATTTCCTTAGAATTTAGACAGAATGCCCAGAATTGGTTTTATTGAACACCCATCCCTTCTCCTGCCCAAGGAACTTTATGAATGCCATTTCCTTCTAGCTGAGTCATGCCACTTAACCAGCTGCAGAGTCAAAGTGCAGTATGTTAAATATTTCTGCTCCTTTGTTTCTCACCATTCCTATGACAATAATCTGATAAAGTCCTTTGACCTGTGTAATGAATTATTCCTTCACCCTCTTATCTCATTTGCCCTTTCCTCCTGCCTCTTGCCCTCCCTCTATTTCCTATCATATCAGGAATGTAATTTGGAATATTTATTTTGCTCTTTTTAACTGTTATAACAATGCATAATCAACCTTGTTTCAGCTTGCACTAGCATCTGAAGTAATTGTAGCTTTGCACTTATTTTGCATCTGTTTTTTTTTCTCCTGTCAAATTACACAAGAGTTTCAAGAACTGAAAACAACTTAATGCCATAATGTACTTACCAATGCATGGCACATTGGACTAAATGTCAGATTTAATAAATTGTCATCAGGTAGATTTCTGTTGAAAGTTGCTTTTTCAAGCAACTTTATTTATCAAATATTCCATGTGTAGGGCAAGAGCTGAATGGTGAGTTGAGCTGCAACTGGTGGTGAAAATGTGAGATCGTAGCATTGCTAATAAGACAGATTATTCATCAGAATCTGAAACAGTAGGCACAATCTAAGGAATCACAAATTAAGTTGGACACTTTTAAGTACTTTTTGGACTTGTGCCTCTTGATCAACTCATACACACACATACACACTCCATTCAGGAGTGCATATGAGCTATTTAGATCCTTGCAAGCATTTACAGAAACCTGTATATTGGTGTAATAGTTAAAGTACCAGGTTAGAAAGTGTGAATTCTAGTCCTACCTTAGCTACAAATGGGTGGCCTTAGGCCGGTCATTCTCTCTTAGCCCTAGTAAGGAGGCCATTTTTGAACAATCTTGTCAAGAAAACATCAGGGACTAGTCCAGGCAGTCACCAGGAATCAATACAGAAGGCATGCATACGCACACACGCACCCCCAAACACACAAACATGGATATTTTGTAAATCTTATGTATGGCCATCATGTTTTTCTCTGTAATATTGTTTCTTGTTTTTAATATAGTCATCCTAGGGTCTTTATGAGATTGGACAATGTTAAAAAGTTTGACAAACATTTTAAAGTTTGTTTAAGTCAACTTGGCCAATAAGGAGAAACATTACAGTATTGGCAATACCAGGGGGGGAATAAAGCAAAATTAAAAATTATTATATTACATTATAATACATGATATGAGAATATTATTATATTGCAATATTTCTCATAAAATTTTGTCATGCAAAAATTCTGTAGACTGTCCCTGAAATACTACACATCACTGAATATTTTGATCCCTGATGTATAAATTTTAATAGTAGGCTCTGGAAACCCAGTTTGAGTCAGTAGTTAGCTATAGAAACTCACTGGGATATATTTCTCTCAGTCCAGATGAACGTAAGGAATGTGGAAATGTAAATTGACTTGAGTTCTTGGAGGAAAGGCAGGATATGAATCTAACAAACAAATAAAATTATGGAGGACTGAAGGCTAGTGGGTCAGGTCACTCACTCATAAAGTCATAAAAAGTGATTGCTAAACAGAAAAAAAAACATGTAGGCAGATTCTAGGGAAGGGAGCTGAAAACAAGAGAATGTCATATGCATCGCTGAGTCAGCAGCACCAGTTTAATATTATTAGAAAGGATTCTTTTAAAAGCCTTTGTTTAAGGGAGGAGATATACCTTGCTAATTGAAAAAGGCAACATGTATCTAAGATACTCATTTTCAATATTGGATTCAAAGGAGCATATAGCCAAGAAAAAAAAGGCTTTGTGTAGTTCTAGATGCAATCTAAGTTTAACAGAGGCTACTTGCGGAGTGTTGCTCGATCTATGTTTTGTGATAAATCACAATGTTGATGTTTTTGCTTTGTTTTGATTTTTTGACATAGCATAACATGTGTGAGTAATCTTGGGAGAGATTATATATACCCTCCCCCAAATGGCTAATCAGTCTATTAATAGAAGCTAAAAAGTAGAAGGGAAAAAAGCCAGCAAGTACTTAGCCTATATAAGTCATTGGTGGCTTTGGATTTGTCCAACAAACCAACATTAAAAGAAATCCTATGTTAGTGTAATTTGCAGCTCTAGCCTTGATACATTTATGGAGAATAACTGGCAGGGGTGGGATTCTACAGGTTTGCACCTATTTGCTAGAACCGGTTGTTAACATTCTAAGCAGTTCGGAGAACACGTTGTTAGAAGAAATTACTGGCCTAATCCTGTAAGGAAGGCAGGAAAGAAATATTCTGGTGTTGCTTATAGAAACTGCCTCTCCATTAACTCTTATTACATTCTTGGCAGGACTAGACTTCCTGTCTCAGGAACTTCTCTGGAGTTTTTTTTCCTCCTTTGCTGGTACTTTGCTTGTGTGGAGTGACCATTCAAAGTTACAATGGCACTGAAAAAAGTGACTTATGACCATTTTTCACACTTACGACTGTTGCAGCATCCCCACAGTCATGAGAGGCCAGGTGAGGAGATGCATGCCTCAATGTGAATGATGTTGAGTTGACCACGCCGAGCCAGTCACATGACCACCAAGCCATGCCCACAGAACTGGTTGTTAAAAAATTTGAATCCCACCCCTGATAACTGGGCATGGAGTTTTCCCACTTCAGTGTTAAGGACACCCATAAAGATTTAGAATATGATCCCAAATTCAAGCTGCTGAACTGATTTAAAAATAATAATTGAAAGAAAAAATGTGGTCTTCTTCAGACTATATTTAGTTTAACTGAGAAGAAGAACTTCTGAACTTTATTTGAAGAGTTAGGCAATTTCCCCACCCAAGAAATGTATTTACATTTTCCTCGTTGTTACATATTCAGCTCACCAAGTTTGTCACCTCAGTGCAGTGAAGTCATCAAGAATCAAATTTGGGGAGGGGGGGCTAATTCACCCCCACCCCCGCAATATCTGGCTCTTGTGATTTCCCTACCTGTTTTAGGTTTAAATGTTAGCCAAGCAACAACAATAAAACATAACGCAAAACTTTGCAGCATTGAAAACAGTAAGTTTGCCACCAAATCACTGATTCAATCCTGGGAAAGAAATGTGACATATGAGCTGTGGGTTACTCACCTATGCTTTTAAAAAAAGAGACTGGAGAATGTGAGTGTAATTACTTACGGTAGCAATGAAGAAAAGAAGGTTTGCTGTCTTCTGTAGAAAAGACATGGAAGCAGTCAAAATACAAGAAGTCCTTGACTTTAATCACAACGGAGCCCGAAATTTCGGTTGCTAAGCAAGGCAGTTATTAACTGAATTTTGCTTCATTTTAAGGCCTTTCTTGCCACAGTTGCATGAATCACTGTAGTTGTTGGGTTAGTAACACAGTTAAGTGAATCTGGCTTCCCCATTGTTAGAAGGCCGCAAAAAATAATCCTCTCAGGAAACCGTCATAAATGTGAATCAGTTGCCAAGCAGCTGAATTTTGAACATTTGACCATGGGGATGCTGCAGTGGTCATAAGTGTGAACAAATGGTCATAAGTCACTTTTTTCAGTGATGGTGTAAGTTCGAATGGTCACTAAATGAACTGTTGTAAGTCAAAGACTACCTGCAAATGTGTGTCCATCTAGCAGCTAGTAACTTGCTGTTCAAATAGTAACTTCTTTTACACTGCAGGGCAGGGAGGTCTTGTATCAAAAAATCAGGAGCGTAGTAGTCAACTTTTCTAACTTATCACATTTTATGAAAAACAGTTAAGCATGAACTGCAACTCACTTCATCAATTCCATATATGTATAGTTTTAAATATTTTCTTAGTTGGAAGAAGTACTATGAGACTCCTTGATTTTTAATTTCTTTTACAATATGCTTTACAGAGACGCAGAGACTTTCTGCAGCTGATGCTTGATGCACGCATCCCAACCACTGACATTGTCATGGAGCAGTCAGACAGAGTCAATCAAGATGATTTTCCCAAAGCTCTGCCCAAAAAGCAGCAGGTGTGGTTGAATGATGATGAGATAGCTGGACAAGCCTCTTTGTTCCTAATTGCTGGCTATGAAACCAGCAACAGCACACTTTCCTTTGGCACGTACCTGCTGGCTACCAACCCTCAATGCCAGGAGAAGCTGCTGCAAGAGGTGGATGACTTCTATTCAAAACATGTAAGTAGGCATCCTGACTGCCATTCTCATTTTAGGCAAAGGGTGAGTGGAGAGAGAGAGAGAGAGAGAGAGAGAAAGAGGCCCTTGATAAAGTGAGAAAACAGGATGGTTTAAAATAGCAATAGCACTTAGACTTGTATACCACTATATAATGCTTTACAGTCCTCTCTAAGTAGTTTACAGAATCAGCATCTTGCCCTCAACAATCTGGGTCCTCATATTACCCACCTTGGAAGGATGGAAGGCTGAGCCTGGTGAGATTCGATCTGCCAAATTGTAGGCAGCCAGCAGTCAGCAGAAGTAGCCTGTAGTGCTGCACACTAACCACTGTGCCACTGTGGCTTAAATGTGGGTTACATTTGCCCCACATGATAATAAAATGTATATTTCAGTCAAAATCAAACCATCTTGATCAGGGCAAATCCATGCCCCATCTTTATTGTGAACAAAGCAATACAGCCAGATCAATTCCAGATGGAGGATCAGTGCAATCTATCTCTGTGAATGGAGAAGATGCTTTATAATATTTTCACAGGCCAGATGTGTCTGTCTATTTTTCAAGTGCATGCATTCTGCTGCAAATGGATAAACACTGTTCCATTGATCTGTTTGCTCTATCAACTGGCTAGGAGCAGTTCTCCATACTTTCAGACAAAAAGCCTTCTCAGTTCTTTTAATGGATTCCAAATATTAAATTTGGGAGTCTTTTGCATCAGTATGCCCTCTGCCAGTGAGTTGAAATACATAATCTGCCCCTGCATTTTCAGTTTTTCCCAATAGTTTTATTTATTTACTTGCTTATTTATGCCTTTTGTGTCAGAAATGACAGCCAGAATCCTCCAAACCCTAGGAATAGTAATAGCCCACACAAACCCACAGCCACACTCCGCCAGGAATTATCCAGAACTAAAGACAAGATACAGAAGGATGAAAGAAACAATGTAATCTACAAAATCAACTGTAACCATTGCAACCAATTATACATGGGACAAACGTCACATCAGTTAAAAACCAGGATCCATGAAGTGGCAATCAAACACCATGATACCAAATCCTTAATCTCTATCCACACCAACATCAAACAGCACCAGTTTGATTGGTACAACACAAAAATCATCGGCCATGTACCTCACCCGCCATGCTTGTGAGTTCATCAAAGCCTGGCACTTCACAAGCAATTCCATCAACAGACATCTTGACCTACAATCAGCCTACAAACCCCTCATAATCCAAATCAACTGCACAGCCAACTAGAGATAGCACCGACCTTCAACCAACCCATGCAAGTCCCCCTCCACAACCAGTTCACCTCCCAAGGACTCTGACGTATGTAACCTATCACAAACCCTGTCACAAGACTCTCACTGATGACGTACACCTGACCCATCACAAGACCCTCACTTGACACACCTACAACTGAAACTGTTATAAACAGAAGAATACTGGCACTTAACTCTACTGAAGATGTTACCCAGCCTGGTAATGAAATATTCAGAAACCAACCCACAAGCTCGGAGAACAAACCTTTACCCTTGTCGCCACTATTGCAAGCCATTTCTAATGTCATTAAAGGAAGAAAAATTACCAAATGCTTTACTTCATTAATCATCCATTAATCTATATAAGGATATAATGTATAAAATACAGAACAATACTAAGACCATGTGTTACAAAAAGATAGAACTAAAAGGAAATGCAAATCAAATTTCTATATTATCCCTACAATTTAGTCCATCATATCC